AACAAACATAATAAAACTGGTTTGGTCTGATCTATGGCAAGAGCTTTTCTCATTTGTGCATAAATAACTGGAATCATTGTGGACACAGTTTCTGGGAGAAAAAACACATCATTAATGCTCTTTAGGAACCAGGTTATTGTCCAGTTTGCACTGCAGTGTGTTCCCTTTACCTGACACCTGGCTCAAGACTCCCAAAATTAAATTAAAATTTCCTACTTTCAATATTTAGGGCCCATCTCCTGGAGCAGAGTTCTCTGACCCAGCAGCACCACTGCCCCTGCATTCTGCTGTCCTGGGCAGAAGCAGCACAGCCAGACTTCTCAGGCCTTGGGCTTAAGCAGCAAGGGCTGTTTTGTTGCCACAGAGAACTCCCAACTTTGCCTGTGACTACAGCCATGGAGGAAATGAGGTGGGGGAGAAGATGTCCGTGTCCAAGTGAACCCATAAACCTTGCCCCTCCACGCTTCCTCACGTGCCAGTCAGTTGGATCTCGGCTTTTCCTGAGAGACTGTAAATATGTGGGGTTTGCTCATTAACCGGTGTAGTGCCAAGATGGAAGCTGTAATGCACATGATGGGAGCAGAGAAATCACACGGCTTTCACTGAAACAAAGGACATCTCTGGGCTCTGGCGATAGGAGCATAATGGCTGTTTTATTTTTTCCAGACAGGGACTGAAGCTCACTGGGGTTTTTTGGGCTCTTGCTTTGTTTTTGTTTTGCTCCAGCATTTAAGGATGAGAATGTTGTGTCTGACGCGTGTCAGCGAGCAGAGGAGATTCACGAGCAGAGCTGGGCTCGTCTTGCTCCCCGGTGAGGAATAAAAGCATTGCCCGTCTCTCACTTCGGGAGGAGAAGGGGGGGCTGCGGGAAGTGAGAAGGCATTGTCAGGTTCGGGTCAGGCTGGAGCATCACGGATTAGCCGGGTGTCACTCGGCAGCCTGGAGGCAGCGCTGGGAAAGCCGGAGACAGAAATGTGCGTGCAGGAGATGGGGGGAGAGGGCTGCTATGGCTTGTTTGGGTGCAGGGCTGTTCTCCACATTTGTGATCATTTGGGAAAGCAGGCAGGAAAATGGACTGAATAAAGAGCTCTTTATCAAGGAAGCAGAGAAATGACCACTTCTACAGCCCTGTATTGGAACCGTAAATGATGCTGTTATTAGAACTGTTAAGAACTTTGATTAACAAGAGCTGTGTCCACATTTAATCCCAGTCTGGTACCTGCAAGTCTGATCTTGCACCCAGGGAAGCTGCTGTCAGTGGAACCACCAAACTGAAAGGGTGGTGCTGGTGGGGAGTGAAGATTCTGTGTTTTGTTTATTTCTTCATGGTTGCATCTGGTTTTGTGCTTTGAAATCTGCAGGTTTATTTCAATATTTAGTGAATTTTTAGTTTATTTCACTTCTTTAGTGAAACAGATAAAGCAGTGAGGGAGAAAATATGAGGGAAGGGGCTAAATTCAGAGTTACTTGGGCCGCATACATAACCTGTGACCACAAGGTGTAAAAGTGTAATTTCCATTAATAAAAGCACATTGTATTGACTCATCACTTCCAAATTTCAGCCAGATCTCATATGTAACTGCAGAGTGTAGCTCACCTAAAACAGGATGCACGAGATTAACAAAATTTTTATGTTTTAAAATTAAGGAATACCATTAATGTTTTCTGTGCATGACTGAGGAACAAGGAACGATGTTTTGTTCACTTCCAACCCAATCAGTTTCACAGCACAACAGTATCAATTTTCAGTATAGTTCAATTTATTCCAGTATGGTCCTGTGAAATGGTCTGACATGCTTTCAGCTAAATGCCAATTTGATGGGATGTGAAAACCACAGGAGTCAGGAAGAAGCTAATAGTCTGTGAGCAGGCCTTATCTGTCCTGCTACAGGGGCACGGCTTCAAGAGGAAAAAAACACAACACATCGAGGAACCTAAAGCAAGGAGGGCCTGGGCTGGGCTTCACAGGGGAGCAGAGGTTTCTGGTCTGGTTGCCAGTGACCCTGTTATATCAATGTTTGTCACTTTGCCACTTTGTACAGTGTGGAAGGAACCAAAAAGAATCCTTCATCAAAGGAGGAAATGATGTGTGTGAATGGGGAGCCTTTATTCTCTGTAAAATGCATTTTAAATAAATACCAATCTTTTGACTCTGAGCTCCTGGTAAAGTATCTTACATTAATGAAATTATAAATAGCAAGTGCCAGTTCTGTGCCAGTTCTAACAGCACAGAAAAGAACATATTGTGAAGCAAAACACCAGGTTTTTGTCCCCCAATTTTGTTGTTTGTTAAGTGAGTGCTTGTGAAAAAGATAATTTTGATTTCATTGTTCTTCAACTTAAATACAGCTGCCATTTAAGCCTTTGCTGTTATTTCATCACACACCCAGAAGAGCACCTGCAGAGACACATCCTTGGTGGTAGATGTGGGGCTGATCTGTTTCCACCTCTGGCTCTGGTGACTGGGTATCAGATCCAGTAACATTTCTGTGTGTGCAGTTCTGAAACACCATCCACAGCTCTTCTGTAAAATGAGTCTGTTAGCAAAGTTTACCTGAAAACAACAATAAAGGCCAGATGACTTCAGCTTTCTGAAGAATTTTTGTCAAGAAGTTGCTCTGGAGCTCCCTGTGCTCACCAGAAGCTTCACAAAAGACCAAATGAAATTTTGGTTGGAGCATCAAAGACATCTGAATACACTTACATCTTGTTCTCATATTTTGGTTCTGCTCTGACTTGCACAGAAACACAGGTCTAACACTTTTATTCAGAATTAGACTTTTGTTAAGCTTTTGAAGTGATTTAATTTTGTTTTGAAGCATTTTCTGGTGTGTGCAGAGTTTACTAACACTGTCCTGACCTTGGAGATGTGTGATATTTTACAGTGTGCAGTGGCATTTATGTACCCAACCTGGCTCCAATAAATAGGTTAATTTCCCCAAATTAAAGGCCAGGTTTCAAACACAACAGGATGATACAATAATTCTGTAATGACCTTTAGGATTCACAACTGGGGCAGATGACTGGGCAGTCCTTTGTCAGCTGCAAATCCACAACTTCTACACAATTATTTTCATGTAAAATGGTAGAAGTGTTGGGGAAAAAATAGTCATGTTTATAGTTTACCATAACACCAAAATCCTGAATACATGGGACAAATATGATTCAGAAATGACTGAAAATTTTAGCTTATATTCCTTGCACATCCCAAATTAGTCTCTATCAAATTATCTCCTGAAGTAAAGATACCTTAAATGACAGAATGTATAACACAAAACCCTTACTGTAAGGTCTGAATTAATCTTCAGACATTGGAATAAGAGTCAGGAATGTCCAACTGTAGATACTGGACAAAGAATTTATTTTGGTTTTCAAAATCAAACCATGGCTCATCTGGATTTGGATTTCACTCCATACAAACATTCACTGGGTATTTGGTGCCAGCTTTGACTCTTTAATATAACTCTTTAAAAGCTACTGAAGTTCCCCTTTTACTTGGCCTGAATTAATGTAATTTAATTGCTCATATTAATCATTATTATACCTGCTTATATAAATCAGACAAGAATAAGATCTTATGACCTTAAACTGAAGAACCACATATCACATGATTAAAATAAGCAAGAGATACAAACCTGGCATGACGGGAAAGCACACTGAATTTAAATTTTGCTCTTACTATTATCTTGGTTGTCCAAAGAACAGTGTACACAGGTTATGATTAGTAGCTAAACTACAATTTAACTTCAATTTCCAGAATCTGATTCCAAGTTATTCTTTATTCTGGTTTTTAAGTAAAGTGTCTGAAGTTACTTCTGCTATGTGTTCTCCTTTTGGATAATCTTTCCAAAGGATATGACTCAGTTCTCCATTATTTGTAAAGAATATGGAGAAAAGTAAAATATTATTATTTTGTGGGCATTTGGAAATGGAAGTAAAAAAAAAAAAAAGAAAAGGTGGGATGTTGACCATTGTTAGTCATTTCTTGGGAAGAAGGGAAGAACAAACACTGGCAGCTGCCTTACAGCTGTGGAAGCCAAGGACCTAGTGCTGACTCAAGCAGTAGATATTGATGGCTGCAGAACACAAAGGAGATCTTGCAGCAGGGATAAAGAGGAAAACCTTTCCCCTTTAAATGATAAGGAATTAGAGGGAACTGCCTGTGTTGATTTCTTGGAGGCTCTTTTTGGTTTAAACCTTCTGGTTTGAACACTGGCCAGTTAGAGTTATATTGTGCAAACAGTTGCTGCAGCTCAATGAGTCTCTTTCTGAGTTTGCAGAAATCCTGGCAAATCTTCAGGTGCACAGTGAAGTACAAGACTGAACTCCAAGGCACTGAGGGAGCTACCCCAGCAACTCCTAGTGTAACCACCTGCTGGCTCTGAGCATCTCTCCCTGGTTGGTGCAAATATTGGTACACACAAAACTGAGGTGATAGAAATCCTTTGTAATCCAGTTGCATACTGATCAACTAATGGAAAACCCTATTTTGATACTAAAACTGATTTTTCAAAGTGACTTTGTGTCACTGTGGCCTTTGTGTACTTTCTTTACTGGGAACTATTCACTTACTTATATGTGTAACTACAGAAAATACCTGCAAAGTGTACCCAACACAGAACCCAGTGTATTTTATGAGTAGATTCTCATGGAGAAACAATTATATTTGCACTGTCATTCCAACTTTCAATGAATATGTTTAAATTATAGTTGTATTAGTGCTAAAAAATAGTACATGCTCTGTGATCTTCATCTGAGTTTATTAATTGTTATTTCTAAGTTACAAGCAGAAGCTCTGAAACAGAGTTAACAGCTTGGATGCCATTGATTCAACCAAGTAAAATCAAAATGTTCACACTTCACCAAAATTATTGTGGATTTTTACATAAAAAGCAGGAATGATCAACAGTCCAGCAGTCCACCACAGGATATTTCCTTAGGAATACAGATGGATCTTTGTGCCTCTTTATTTCATAATGCCACTCAGAGGGCTCACATGGTCACTTCATACTACTGACGGTTCCTTTGCAGCTTTGAATTTGATAATCAAGTTCAAGCGCCAGTTCTGGAACACCTGATCTCCAGCCAATAAATCCCTGGGTAGTTTTAGGTACTGGAGGAGATGGAAGCACCTAAAATCAAAGTAACATGTAAAACTGAATGATGAAAAGGTTTTTGGTTGAAGTTTCTGTCATGCAACATTGTCTTTTGTGCTGTAGTGTTCTAAAACCAAAATCAAGTCATTGTCTAGTAGAGTATGTTGGAATTTATTTTTCCCAAGTTTGGTTCAATACTAAGGTCTTTAATTGCTTAACATTATTAGAATTTTTTATATAATTATAATGTATGGAAAAGGCTCAAGCCAAAGATAATCATCTTTAAAACTAATTAACTTCTGAAAATGAGAGAAATAGTGTTTTCTCCTTGCTGTAATATACTTGATAGCAATGCAGCTATGGAATAATAATTTTAAATCCAAATGCCAAAGATATTACTGACCAAGCTGGCTTTTACATCAAGAACTACCTTTTCATTCTACCTTCCTTCTACTTTAGAAGATGGGTGAGCAGCAAGTTAATCTGCAACTAATCTAGCTAAAAAGGAAACAAAACAAAAGCCAGCAGACTGTTCAGTGACTGCTGTGCTTACTTTGGCTGAATCATCTCAATTGGGCACGTTCTATCATTTCAGCATCTGGGGACTTAGCAGAGAAATACACAGCAAGAGAACAATGTTTCAGTTCTCTTGCCAGAGTTGCTTCACTTTGTTCTTTGGCCAAGATTAGAAAATGTTTGTGATATTTAGGTGGAGCAGTTCCTCAGAAAAGATAATTTTTATGGCCAAAAGTGCCACCCACTGAGCAGGATAATGAAGGAAATCATGTCCCACTTTCAGTCTGGGGGAGGGGACTATGCAGGAGCTTTTATTAGTCTAACCTAGAGAGAACAGATTTGACTGTTACCACAAGGTAAATGTGCAGAAAGACACTTCTGAAAAGGATGTATGAAACTTCACTCTGAATATGTAACGGGTGACCTAAATCACAGCCAACCTTCTCTTCCTCCCAGTTCTGAGGTGAAATGGAAACTCTGTTCCAATGTGCACCACTCTCTGCACACTTGTGGAGCAGCTGGTGACTGCAGGATTCGTTAATGCACCAACACCCTCATGGGGCTGAGACTCCACTGAAACTGCAACTGGACTGAGATTGGAGGTTTGGGACAAAACTGAAGAGCAAGTAGCAGTAATGGCAGAAATGATGCCATTTCATTTCTTTACTGCACTCAGCACTAGCTCTTAATTTTTATTTTAATGTAATCTCAGTAAAAGCTTTTACTACTTCCTTACCTTATCTCCCCACCCTTGGAATCCTTTGAAAGAAAGCTAGTTCAGCAAGTAAGAATTTCCAATCTCCTTTATTTCCCTAATCTTCTCTAAGTGGACTAACTGTCCTCTGCTTCCCCTTTTGTGAGTACATTCCTCTCCCAATGTCACTGCTTTACTTGCCTGTAGAGTCACCCTTTTCATTGGTGACCCTGACACACTGTATTTATAAATTAAACCATCAGTCATATTCTACTCTCCAGCTGTTTGACAGCTTTAAGACTCTGAATGTACATATAAATCATATAAAACAAAATAATTATGACTTGGCTGATTAGAACTGGCTTCTTATTAATTTGTGGTACTGAAGAGGACAGTGGTATTGTCTCTGCCAAAAAGCAGACTCTTAAATAAAGGTAGAAAAATTACAACCATATCCAAAGGGCAATTCCTTGTCTTAAACAAATGCTTTTAAAGCATAGTTTGGCTTGCAAATGCAGTTTACTTTGACCTTTGGTTAAAGACCCCCCTCTATAAGACAACTGGTTTTCAGAACTTGTGTGGTTTCCTGAGACAGATGTTGCTGTATTGCAATTTTAAAATCTAATTTTTGAACCTTAATGTATTTTTCCACAGGTGTCACAGGTCGAACCCGCAGGTGATCTGGAAGCTGTAGCTTGGGCTTTGCATCTCCTTTCTTTTCATCTCCAATCAACTAAAACCAAAACATATTTAAAAACTTTTAAAAATATTTAAATTACATTAAAATATTTAAAAACTTTATCTTTTAAAATACTTAATAATATGTGATATCCACACCATTCTCCTCACTGTTGTATGTGAACTTCCTGTTCTTTCCACCTCAAGCAGGATTACTTATTTCAGTGCTCTGGAAATTACTGGATTTTTTTTGTTTCAGAAGACAAGCAAACTACATTTATAACAATGCAGAGACTGCATCAATCCTGTTTTTTAGCAATGAAATACTGTGATTCCAAATGTAACATCATGTGCTACTGTTCTCTAATATCTAAACATCACTGAGAAGAGACATCACTCCAAATATTTTCATTTGTTGTAGATTCCCCCACTGACAATTTAATTAGCTGGAACCTTTTCCCCTAGATTTTTAAAATAACATATGGAGAGACAAAGGGGAAATATTTTCCTGTCAGTGTGCATCTAGTATTTGTTAGCACTATTAGGAGTCATGCTTCTCAAGAGAAATACATCAGAATATGCACAGCATATAAATTACCACTAGATGTATTTTATTCAGAAGAAAACTGAACATTTGAACCATTTATAAAGTAGTACAATTGCTACCTTGAATGCCAGTGTAGTAAAGCATACTCAGTAAATTTCTAGTCTTCTATGCTCTCATAAGTTTGTTTCCAGATAAATTTGTGCACAAGTCCATATAATATGCCATTCAATTTTACCTCCTCTAGAGGTGTTTTCAAAAATCCCCATTTTTCAGCCCATCTTTTTGCAGAATCTCTTTCACTTTCAACACGATTTTTCCTGAAACCAACAAATATTTAAGATTACTTTGAAAACTTTCATTAAAAAAAAAAAAACCAAAAACCCAACACGCCAACCCTACTATTGATGTCACAAAGCACAGCACTTTAGCAGGAATCTTTAAACTTCCATCTCCAAACAGCAAGTTTTTATACAAATTATCCTTGTCTGACTCGGAACTAGTGGGAAAATACTTTGCAGAGGTTTCAAACACTGCATGTGAACGCGCTGCTTTTAAACTATGTTTTGTTAACAAGCGGAGGAGGTCAAAAAGTAACCACCAATGTCCTTTTATATATACTTTCATTTACATTACATTACCTATTACATTTCATATACATTTCATTACTGTGTTGGCTGACGAGATGCCCCGACCCCACAGCCGGGGGAAGGAGGGGTGCACTGCAGCCAGCTCGAAAAGCCCTGACTTTTTAACCAAGCATTACCCAGCGCACACGCTCTTTAGAGCCACACGAGAGCTGTCAGCGCGGGGCGGGAGGGGAAGGTGGCCGGGAGCAGGGGCAGAGCAGCGGTGTTGGCCGGGCCGGCGGGGCTGTTACCAGTTGTTGTCCTGCGCTATGAAGTTGCCGGGCTCCATCGAGCCGGGCCGCCTCAGCCCCGCCGGCCCCGGGGACGCGCCGCGGCCGCTCGGGCGTTGCGGGGCAACGGCGGCGGGAGGGGCGGGAACTCGTGTGGGCGGGCACAAGATGGCGGGAAGGGCGTCGAGGTGTTTAATAAAATGTTGGGAAGTGCCCAGGCACTCTCTGAGGGGAAGGATCCCCTTCTCCCGTGCTTTAGGAGCTCTCCGGAGGCACCACAGCCATGTCTCAGGGAGAAAAGGAAAAAAATAAACTCCCATTCCCTGCTTTCTTGAGGCCCCTCAGGCGGGCACAAGATGGCGGGGGGGCGGGCCCAAAGTAATGGGAGGGGCCTGTAATAACTCGTGTAATAAAAAGTTGGCAAGTGGCCCAAAACTCTGTGAAGGAAAGGGTCCCCTTCTCTTTTCCTCTGGGAACTCTCCAGGGGTACCCCAGCAATGTCTCAGGGGAAAGAAAGCAAAAAATTCCCGCTCCCTGAGGCCCCTCAGGAGGGCAGGGGAAGTGCTCCGTAGTTTTTTTTTTTTGTGTCTGCCTTTAAGTGAAGGAAAACACGTTTAGGTAAAGGCTTCTTTTTAACCTATTCCTGGTTCTTCTTGCTACACGCCAAAATTGTTTTTGGTGATTTCATTGGGAAACAACACCAGTCCTGTGATACAGTGTCTGTCTGATCTATTTCTGATAAATGTTCTTTACAAGCTACATGTCTATGACAGAAGTGCTGAGAAAGACCTCAGCATACTTTATGGCTTCTATATGAGAACCAAGAATATATTTACAGCTTGCAAAGGGTTCATTGTGTTCCAATATATTAATAGTTTTGGCTCTACATGAATTTTTTTGTAATTTTATTTTCTTGCAGTTGCTGGATAAAATATTTCAACAATGAGTGAAGCCAGCTGGCTTTTTGCCCTCCTGGGTTTAAATGGTTCCCCGACCTCTTTCTTGTTGTCTGGAAATTGACTTATGTAAACACCCTGGAAATAGTTAGTGGGACTCTCACACTGCTGGGCACTTATTATCCTTATTAGAAAATAAATGCAGAAAGGTTTTGACTTCATCTGAGTGGTTTATAGGCAGTGTGTTTGAATGTTTAATTATTAGACTTTTTTTAAAAAAAAATCCAAAGGACCTGAAGCTCTTAAATATTGGAGTATGAGAAGACTATATACATTTATTAGTCATTTTAGAAGTACTAAGAACCTCTGTTTGAGTGAGATGAGAATAAAAACGCCTTCTGTAGTTCTAAAATAGAAATTAATACTGCTCTTCTGAGTCTCTGAAAATCATTAAAGTATCAACAAATGGAGTATTTCACTTACATGCCATTTCTTGATTCTCTAATTGATAATTAGGCTTGCAATTAAGTCAGCTGGGTCTCCTATCACACCCATAAATGCTTACTCATTGTCCTACTTAATTAACTCCTGCTGCTTTGTCACATTTATCTCAGGAGTCTTCTTATTGCTTTGATGCTTTCTGTGAAAAAGATAATTTGTTAATGAAACAATCAAATCCATAGTTTACTGTGTCAGGGCTTAAACTGCACAAGCATTTGTCAAGAGAGATGGAACTTCTTATACTAACACTGTGGAAATATATGATGTTCAAGTTTTTTGCACTTATTTCTCAGATGAGGGGATGTAGTAAATGAGTAGTTAGTCATAGGTCTTATTAGGTTCTTATGAGCATAGGACAATATTAGAATTGCACTATGAGAAAAAAATGAAGTAGGATTTTAATGAGCTAATAATGATACTGAATGACAGGAACACAGGTCTGCTGAGATTCCAGTCTTCTGCAGGAAGTCTGGCTCTTTTAGCTGCATACAATAGCATTTGTTATCATGTGGTAAATGCTGAAGAAGGTCCTACATCACTCAATGTATCACCTCTAAATAGAATCAAGTCTCAATGCTTGGTGCTTTTAACATGGGTGAATTGTCTCTGGATGTGGCCATAAATGCTGAAATTGCAGTTCTTCCTGCCATTTGATTAGGAATTATCCAGTTTTTCAGCTGTTCAGTTATGCTGCTGTTGAACAAGAGCTCACAACTGTTCTTTAATAATTTATAATTTGTCCATAATTTGTAATTAGTGTCTGGAGTTTGAGAAACCTTTCACCTGTGTCAGGTGTTTCTCCACACTTGTGGAAGCAGTTTGGGTTTTTTACAGCCTCTGTCCTCCCTTTTCTCAGTCAAAAGAAGTGCTTGAGGTGCTGTCTTTTGATGCAATCTGGGTACTGGCTGACAGGGATTAAAACTAACCAAGGGGAAAATGAGATGCTTTAAATACAAATACAGTTTTTTTGTGTAGGTGTACAAACGCTTCTACCTGCACATGATGGGGCAATGCATGAGGGCTTGGAGGAGGGCAGTGCTGGGTGCTAGGTCCAGGTTTTTCCAATATTTTAGGATGTTGTGTTGACACAGACACAGGTGGTATTGCTCTGTGAAATAAGTCAGGGAACCAAATAGGCTTAAATAGGCTCTGCAGAAAGTCAGGTCACTGTTTTAATTCCTTTCACAGAACAGTTCCGCTAGCCGTTGTATTTCTGCATGGAGGCAGCAGACAGAATGGAGACAGGAAAAGGTGGTGTGAGCTGAAATGAGCAACTCAGGGTAGGTGGATATCTTAAACCTCTACTGTTGCAGAAGACTCTCTATAATGCTATTTTGGCTTTGTTAACATTTGCATTCTTGAAAATCTGAATTAAGTTTTGGTTTTCTGGATATCTTACATGTGTACTGTGATACAAGAATATTAAGGCTTTGTATATTCCTTTTTTATGGAGAAAAGTATCCAGGTAAGTACACAAAAGCTTTATGTGTCACAGTCTGAAATTACTTGACGGAAACAAGCCTGTTCTCTTTTGAGTTCTATGTAAGGGTTTGTGGGTGTTGTTTACGAGCATCTCTGCTCCCATGGAATGCGCTGAGATTTGAGACCACAAGATATTCAGATTTAAGTGCTAAAGAATTGTTGCTAAATCAACCTTTGTATTCTGTACCTGTTTTCTGAACACTTGTAAAGCAAACTAGCAATGGTCTGGTATAACAGAAACTGGTTTTCTTGTGGAGATGATGGTTACACAGAGGAATTCTTTCTTCATGGGAGTAGCTCCAGCACAGAGGGCTGTGCAGGGTCCTGCTGGAGAAATGTTTGTAAATGCTGTTTTTTGAGTGGAAATACAGGGCAGTGTCACGTGTGTGCTGTGAGCAGCACATGCTCGCAATTTAGGCAATTACCTCAGAGCTCAGTTGCTAAACCAGTATGTGACCAGTAAGTCCCAAGCGTTCCTGTGGTGCTATGGCTTTTGCTGGATGTCTGGCAGCTCTGTAGAGGCAGAGCTTTGACTGGATTTTTCAGCTGGAAAAGTGGAACAAATGCCCTCCACTGATGGCAGATAACAGCAGTGAGGCAGGGGGAATGAAGATGTGCCCAAGGAAACTCGCAGTGGGGTGCACCAGTGTGTGTTCTCTGTGTCTCTCAAGGCCTGCACCTCGCACCCAAAACTGCCACCTTCACATCTAAAATTTTGAAGAGCAGCTATGTTGTTTTCTTTCAGCTGCGCTAATCTTGTGTCTTCCTCTCTGACATCAGCAATGTCTGAACCTCTGAAAGTGAAGCTCTCTGCTGAGGTGTTTATATATCCATTTCTGTATCTGTGTTTAGGCTTCTGCAATGAAAACGTTTACCAAAAAATATTAGTTAGTACTGGCAGCTTTGTGTTTGCTGCTCCACAGTTTGCAATGTGAGGTGTGGAAGTCTAAAAGAGGAATATTTGAGCATAACTTCAGTGTCTTTTTGTGATGTTTTTACATAAAATTTCAGATGTAGACAGCCTGAGACTGCCTTGTTATGATTACTGTGATTTAAGTAATGAAGTCCCATTGACACAGGCTGGTTTGATTTTAAAAAACCCTGTTAAAGTCTATCACATCAAGAACATGTTAATTGGAGTTCCTGAATTTCCATTTATGAATGTAATCCAACAGCCTGGTTAGAATTATTATATGTTGTCTCAAAATTTAGGACTCTCATCTTATTGTGGCTGTAATTATCCAGTGGCTTTTGAAAGCAAGGGCATGTTTGTTTTCCCAATGATAATATGTTCCTTTTTTATCCATAAAATGGCATTTACGGCTACAGCTTTATGCAGATTTCTGTGCTTGAAAAATTCAGTAATTCCTGGAATTTTATTTGGTTTTGAGCAGATTCATTCCTTTTTATTCAAACTAAAGATTTACATGAGAGACTGTTTTACTGTAAGCCTAATGGATACACTTATATTTCTGTTGTACGCAGTGGAAGAAATACACATGCCCTCCAAACAAAAGTATTTGTTCTATGGGCATGGAGACGTTTGTCACTTCCAAACTGGAGAAGGTGTTTGCATTAAAATCCCTGAGTCCCAGGCATTGCCTCAGAGCACAGCTCCCCAGTTCTGGCTGCAGAGAGCTTGCAGAATGCTGCCCTGATGCAGTTTCAAAGAATACAGCCGCCACTTGTAGCCACTGGAAAAATCTCTTGTAAATGCCAACGTGCAACACTTAACAGACCTCTCCTGCTGGTATGAGAACTACCTAGGCACCATATGAATTAAAGATGAAGGAGAAAGACAGAATTTTAAATTTTGCTGCATTGTATAAACTGAAATCAAACTCTTCATGGTCTTTGAAAGTACTTTTTGTTTCAATACAGCACATGTTTCAAATCAGAAAGCGTCTCCTTTTTTCCTTTTGCCTGAAAGGCAGGGGGTCTGGGACATTTTAATAGCTTTCATAGCCTATTCTGAAAATATATTATTGCTGCACAATAGTTTCTTTGCATGAGAATTGCTTAAATGATTCAAAAAGGATTGAAAAATATATTTCAAGTTTTAATTTTATGCACAGAACATTAATGAGCAGTGCCCCTTAGAGACTTGCTGTCAGTTTAACATATTCACAATAATCTCAACACAGATGTTATTCCATCGAAATCCTTTTAGAGGGAAGAAA